AGAGAGAGAGAGAGTTCAAACAGATGTTTGAAAGGCAAATCTATTGACCAAAGAAACTAGGCCGCAATAATACAGAATCCCTCGTATCAAAGAGTACATACAATTGCAAAAGAATCCAACAAATTACTCACAAAAAGAGAACCAGCACTTGCACCTTCCCCATATCATATGTACAAAAAGAACATTACCCGTTTCTCACTCGTAAAACCCCTCCTCTGTTCTCCCACCAAATGAACAAATGAAACTGGAAAACTACAAATGCCACTGATGCACGAGACACGATACACACTATAGGGATTCACTGACTGTTTCGGATGATCAATGGTGGAGATTAGCCCCAATCTTGGCCATGTCAATCTAAGCCATACATCATAACAGACATAGATGCCCATGGTGTACCAGAACACGATACACACAATAGGCATTTACCGACTGTTCCCGATGATCAACGATGAACCCCAACACCGATAATATCAATCACAGCCACCCAACAAAACAGATGTCGATGCCTGTGGTGCTCCACACACATGTGCACCATTTGTGTATGAATACTCTCAAGTGAAGAGGACAAAAAAGGTAAGAAAACCAATAGAAAAAGAGCACTTAGAAACTTGCTCCTTCAAAATTTGCAGGCTGCTCCTCTCTCACCAGACCAAGAAAGCTAAGAATGTGGGGACCTGCGAATATAAACCCAAGCCCTTCTTCAAAGCACTTAGAATGCAGAAAACCAGCAGGAGAATAACTATCTTCTTTGAAGCTAAGATCCTGAGGTTGATTCTCTGACCATGGCCCCTCAGAAACTTCTGAGGGGTCTGCGCTAATAAAACAAACCACGAGAGCACCATCCAAAAAGCCTCCTTGAGACCGACCTCTGAAAGCCCATTCGAGGTGGCAACTGTGTCAATGCGTACAAGAGGACGTGCAGCATCATTGCAAACCTGTAAAACTAAGTTGGTTTAGAGAGAGAGAGATCAAACTAGACAAGAAGGGAATCAAACTGAACTTACCTGGCCCGACCTATCCAGCCCAAGAACCTCATTCAAATAGTCTGAGAGCCTCACAAGAAGCCTAGCAAGCCATGCTACCTCCCCTTGAGTGATGGGCCTCTTCATCCAGTCCCCCTTGTATCTAATGGCCGAGAATCCACGCTCCTCAATGCCTGGTCTCTTGGGCGTGAATACTTCCTCACGGTGGTGGTGGCCCTGACAGGCTGGCCCCGCAATATGGGCATGGCCGGAAGGACTCACAAGGTGACCTTGAGGGGCCGGGCTCACAGGCCTTCCAGGCTCCACCCTTACATTAGCCCCAAATAGAACTCGGGCCTGGGCCTTTAGAGAGTCAAACATTTGGAGAGTGCACGCCAGCTTCTCACCAGAGCCACTTTGGATCTCAGCTTCAGCCCGCAAAATCAAGAGCTGTAAAAAAGAGAAGTCGATACTAACATATTTTCTTCATAAGCCATATAAATTAACCCAAATGATTTCAGGCTTCTGCTGCAAAGCTCAAATATTGAATGTCAAATAAGAAAGCGTAGTACAAATAAATGTGAGTATACTTTTCCATGATAAATACCAAAGCCACCAAGAGTTCAAGCACCAACCCTTTCTCTCACCAAAGTATTTGCTGCTTTTTTTTTCTTTTTGTTTGTGAACATTGTGAGATCTATTTCAAATTCTTTCTTCACAAGATAGAATCAAAAATTTAATAGCTCTTCATGACCATGAATGTGGAAGTAATATTACGTTTCTGAATGCTATCTGATTTTCATTTGATTTGGACAGATGAAATATTGAGTTCGAAATAAATTTGGGTTAGTTTAGTGTTACCTAAATATAAAACCCAAATGGATTCTGATTCATGGTTCAGATTCCATCATGTAATATGCAGTCAGGAATCAGGATATCTAGAATGCAAGATGCGACAGCAATTGTGCAATAAATACTCTCACCAGAAGTGTCTTAGAAAGTAAGACATTCATATCAAATAAGAATGGAAAGCAAAGTGTTTATTTCAACTAATACAAATAATCTTTTTTCTTTTTTGCTACTGGAATTAACTGTAATAGCAAAATGAAAGGTTACTGTTTCCAATGACAAAAGAATCGAGAAGAAAAAGTCAGAGACCTTGTAAAGACGGTAAAAGCTTATTCATATTTGCATTCAACAGCCATTAGGGACTTGAAATCCAAACTCATTAAAAAAAAAAAAACCATAAATTTGAGTATCACAAAAACACACTAGGAGTGTTATGCACACATGGGTCCTAGAAATTAGAGAGAATCCACAGGAAAGTGAGATTTATGCGAGTCCAATCTGAAAAGAATAAACATTTTACGACTTTCATCAACTACATAGAAAAATTCAAACTACACTATAGAAACAGTTTTCCACATGCGACACTCAATATCCCCCCTGGGGGGTGGGGAAGCGAAACATAAATTAAAGGTTTTAAAATTTCAGCCATGGACCAAAAAATAAGTTAAATTTTATCCTTCTAAAAAGAGGAAGAAATAAGGGAGTAGTTTCTATGTGGTCATATAACTAACAAGGCTGATGATGTAATGAGAAGCACTAACAAGGTAAAAAGTAATGCAATTGCCCCCAAAATGCCATATGATTCTCAAGGCTTTCAGGTTGGACAGTTTCACAAGGATAAAAAATCCAAGTTGCCCCAAAATTTATGCACTGCATCAATATTAAACAAATTTCAACATGGATAACCATTTTTTCACCTTGAAAGAAATAGAAGAGAAATAAGGAACCCTTGAGGCAATGTAAGCAAGTTCGTTCAGTGAAAAGATACCTCAAGCATTCGATGTACACCATCTTCGTCGGTACTGAAAAGTTTTAAATCTCGACTCCCGTTGTCTAATAAGTAGGATCCTTCTACATTGTTGTCTGTGCTAGATAAACCATCCTCCCAGTCCTGATATTCTCAAAGTATCAAAATACGCAACAAGAACACACACACACTCTCTCGCTCTCTCTCTCTCTCTATATATATATATGTATATATCCTGCACACCCACATATCAGAATATACCTGCAATTTTTCGCGAATAGATGGAACATTTTTGTACAAACTGTCCATAAAAGGTGAAGATAATGAACATGGCTTGGAATGATATGCAGCATCAACTCTCATTACGAGATCCAACAGCTCCTTCGATGATGTCAATATATTTAGCACCTATTTGAAACTCATATTGCATGAGAAGAGTACCATCAACATATAATGCAACCACTGGTATTGGACTAAAGACACTTCAGAAATAATCACTTCTAATCCACCACCAAAAAAAAAAACATTTTTACATGGTTTAACTCGCATTTATATCCAACTCTTTTTTCATTTTTCATTTTTTGAAATCTTATACAAGTGAAACTGTTGCATCAAAGTGCTTGAAACAAAGGTTACTCTTGGAAGTTACCCAATCAACAAAAACAAAAAAGCAGCAGCTACAAAAATGACTGGCCTATCCCAAGGAGAGGAAAAAAAAAAAACAAAAGAGAAAAGAATCTAGTCAAATGACTCAAGCACATCAACAAGCAACAAGCTTATAGAGCTTTGTAGAGAGGACAAAGTAGTTATTCTAGTGGATTACAAAGAATTACTGGCCTATCCCATGGAGAGTAAAAAAAAAACAGAGAGAAAAGAATCTAGTCAAATGACTCCAGCACATCAACAAGCGACAAGCTTATAGAGCCGTGTAGAGAGGACAAAGTAGTCATTCTAGTGGATTACAAAGAAGGATTAGTACATATTCTTAAGGAGCCATAAACCAAAAGCAAAGACAAATTGCACTTCATGTAAGATGCATAATTCATCATCCCCAGAGCCTTATCCCAACTATTCGGGACAGCCACAAGAATCTTGTTCCGCCATCCCGCTGTATCAAGGCCATACCTTTAGTTGGACTATGAGTAACCATATTTTTTCGCACTCCTTCAATCCTTGTCCATTGGGACCTTCTCGTTGCCCTTTTAGAGCCTTCCACTTGAACCAAATCCGCCCTCCTAACCAATGTTGTCCTAGGCCGACACAACCCATGACCATACTGCCTAATTCTACTTTCCCTCATTTTATCACCTATTGAACTACCAAATTAGGCACGATGCATAATTACCAAGTAAAATATAAAGTAATGACTAAGTTGCTCTATTAAATCTAAGCGTAGGAAGACCACAAACTCACCCTCAACCAACCATGCAAAGCATGTTGAGGCCATGCAAGGGATCCTCTCCAAGGCTTTCTATCGACGTATCCAAATATTGAATTACAATGGTATCTCGATGTTTCACTGAAAAGCAGTGTTTCAAAACCCAAATCGGTGGGTGGATCATTCACCCCACGGATCCATGTTGAATAACTAGATTGGCGATCCGGATTGATCTGGATCTATCTGAATCACAGATCCAAATAAATAAAAAATAGATAAAATAAAAAAATAAAAATTAGAGGTTCATAGGGTGGGGATTTAGGGGGACTTAAGAAAACATTAGATAAGTTTTTTTTTTTTTTAAAAAGATCTATACAAGTGGAGGTTTTAAGGGGGAACCGAGCCGGGATTCATACCATCCTAGAGCCGGTTTGGTTCTGACCAATTCCCCATCCAAATCGACGAACGGGATCAGGAATGCCGGGCTTTAAAACACTGCTGATAAGTATTATCCCTGTTAGAGTAGCACATTCCATGCTGATGCATTATTTACGCTTACATGCACCCAAAGCTGATGAAGGGTTTCCAATAGAGTGCCACACATTTCTCTTTGCTGTCTTTGGCAATGTTACTGTGTCCACAGGCTCAAGATGAACACCAAAGTAATTTCAGAAAAGTCAGGGTTGCTTCTTCCCATGTCCACAGTCACTGTGGTGTTCCTTGAATTTAAGGGCATCATAGATGTAGGGCTAACTGGTTAGAAAAGCTTCATTCCCATCCTAGGATCAAACCAATTCTTAGTAGGTGATGGCTAGCAAACAAGTGCTAGGCCTACGTAATATCTTTCAAGTTGTTCACTGCACATGGGAACATCTACAACAGAGTGAGGGACATGGTGGATGAGTGATGACCAAGTTCTTTATAGAGGTTTTGTATTGGTGCATATTAGCTGACTAAACATCAAAGTTTGGTTGTCTTGATGATGATTAGCAAAATCTCGTCTTTTAATCTCTTTCTTTCAGTAATGATTAGCAATATCATGCTTAAGTACATATATGTTCTTAAAGTATGCCAAATGGTCAATATCCTATGTCATTGAAGACATTTGCAAAGCCAATAAGCCAATCCTGATTGCTTACAAGGTTGAGATTTGTAATACTAGGTCCCAGGGCCAATCCCACCCCGACCTACATAAAATAAGAAGGCATTTGGACTCAACTAAGTGATTGCTTAACAGTGGACTACACCTCTAGGCAATTGCATAAGTACCCTCAAAATATGGGTTCCAAGTTCCAACAGGACTGCATACAGTTTATGGATATATGTCAAACATTTTCTGTTTTGATAAAGAAAAGCTATGAAGTTCATTCATTCTTTTTCTTTTTTGGTTTTTTGGTTAGGGGCTGTTTGGGGGGCACTCAGAGTTCATATAATTGGGATTTGATAGGATCAAAACCAGTTCCAAAAAAATTTGATATCCCTATATCCACCGAACCTCTTTTATTGGGGACCGATAGGGCATGGCCCCTGCCACATGCAAACACCACCCATCCCCCGAAAACCAACCAAAAAGAGAAAAGAAAACATCTTTTGATGGATTGAGGACCCAAAAACCATTCCAACCCCTGCAAATTGACTCCCACACATAAAAGCTTAATGTGGAGCTCCTAAAATAGTGCAAATATGACTGATCTAAAATGGACTATCTAGATTGCATGTTGATGTTGCCTTCAAAATGGAGCATTAATATTCTTGTTTCTTTTTTCTTTTTTTTGAGTGGTCTAAGAAAGGTGAGGACCTTAAACTTTCCCTTTAACCTGTCCCAGGCCCAAGTAAAAGGATGGGTTGTGTTAGGTAGGCAGCCAATATAAAATTGTGTCATAAGTATCCATGAATCCTGAAACGTTATCTGCTTATGCCAAGGCGTTCCCCATAAACGAAACACTATACCAAACCCGGGTACAGTGAGAAATGAGCAAGGGTAGCTAGGCATTCCCCATAAGCTACTGTTTATACTCAAAAATGCAAGCAAGGGAGTTCGCTCTCGCCTTGGTTTAGGGTGCAAACAAAGTTGGAAGAGTATGGCTCCCGTAAATTTACGCTCCGAGAGAAAATCGGGTCCTAGGACCTCATCCCTCTCGAATCACCGACAAAGCCGGCTTCCCTCCTATTTCAACCTTGGAACTCAACAAAGAAAGCTTTCAAAAAAGGGTCGAGATAAAAAGAAGATTTTAGTAAAATAGATTTAGAACGAGAACAAGAGAGGAGAGCCACAAATAAATAACTAAGCTAGGAAGATACAAATAAACATGGGTAAAGAATCTAACTACGAAATACAAGAAGAATAAGAAAGTAAAAAGCATAGAGACAAGGGAATAAAGCTAATATAGAGATGCATAACATAGAACGAATGAGAGAGAGAGGATTGTAGAGATGCAAGAATGATTATGAAGAAGGAGAAGAGATCCTCCTCAATGAAGCAAAGAGATATAAGTACAAGATGACAATAAAAATAATAATATAACATGGGAGAGAATAAATACGAGAGAAGGGGCAGTAAAACTAGTACCGATAGATAACATGCAAAGAGAGTAATAAAATAAGTATATGAAAGAGAGAAGGAAAAAGTGTTAGAAGGAGTGCTAAAGTAAATGAGATAGAGAGAAATAGGGAATGGCACATTGAAAGGGGGAGAAAGGGGTAAATGAATACAAATTACTAATAAAAGATAACAAGATGCAAGAAAAATAGGTGCAATAAGAGAAGAATAAGAGGAACTAAATTATTGAACAAAATATAAGGGAAACAAACTAAATACCTATGGGAGAGAAAAGGAAAAGAGGAGTGCTACGGGGATAAAAGAAGAGAGAGTATTTCATTAATCAAGAAAAACAATCATAATAAAGAAAAAGGAATGAATGTTTAATTACAAGGGTGAAGAAGACGGCAAGATCTATACCATCAAGTGAACAAAACAAAAGGGGGAAAAGAAATAAACACAAGCTAAAAGAAGTAGATACAACAAAAAAAGAGAAAACAACCATGCAATAAAAGAGATGAAAGATTGGGATGAGAGGGGAGAGCCTATGCTATTAAATAGAGAAAACTAGGAGGAAGCACCGATGTAACAAACTAAGACAACAGATGCTCATGAAAGATAAAGAAAATAAGAAGATGCGAGAAAGGGGAGATCTACATCATAAAAGAATAAAATGAGAAGAAGGAATAAACACACCAAACCTAACAATAAATAAATGTTACTAAGAAGAGAGCTGTGTTTGTTGCCCCGCGATCGTGACGGCATGCTCAGTGTGATCCAACGAAGAAATCACAGAAAAACATCAAGGAACGAGCACACAATCGATCCGAAATTTCAAGTCACATGATCGTGCCCTAAAAACACGATCCATGGCTCGAAGTTGGTATCAAATCGATCGTTATGCCGAGCCCTACAAGAAAACAATCATCTCTCGATCAACCGAGCATCGGAACGACCAAGGATCATCCACGAAAAATCATGCACGTTCTAGGGCAACACAGGGCCTGTTATGGAACTCCACAACTTGTTAAGAAGGGGCAAATCTGTCATTTTGCACCTTATTTTCTAATTTCTTTTAATTCATTTTAATCTTAATTTCCAACAATTAGGGTTACTTTTGATCATCCACCCATGTTGCTATCGTTGTACGCAAAAAGGCTTAAACTCTTCACGAAAGAGAGTTTTTACTTAATAGAGTTTTTCTTTCTTCTCATTATTGGCACACGTTGAGAGAGAGAGAGAGTAAAGAGAGAGAAACTATTGGACCGGTACGCCTAAGCTCAAGGTAAATGTTCTCTCTCTTCTCTTTCTTTTCTTCTTCTCTCTCTTCCTCTTCTCCATCTGAGTTCCCCTCGGAGGCCATGCACAGCAATTGCAATGCCGTGTATGCCTCTCCTGTGGTCTCACAGGTTGCGCATGGCAATGGCAGTGCCATGCACGAGCCTCCTCCTCCTTCTGTTCGTCCATCTCTGTCCCCTAACGAGGTTTGCA